TGTTTCTTTTAACTCCCTATGATGTCTGGGGATTCTCATTGATTCTTTCTTGCCATTCCTCATGTTTATTCGTTAATCCATCTGCTTTGTGTACCAAACCTTCAACTTCTGTTCTAATACTGTAACTGGGGTTTGCAGGGGGTGGAAACAGAGGGATCGGTGTGTGATGGGTTGGTTTGGATTGTTCAGTTGCCTTGGGGGTGTCGTGGCTGTAGTCCTTCTGCAGGTGTTTCTGGGGGGTGCGTTTGTCCTTCCATTTGATCCTGGGTTATTCTGCTCTCCTTTTTCATTTCCTCCATTTCTCCTTTCGTTTTTGAACTCTTTCATTGTCTTCCTTTCGTCCTTTGTGTTTCTGTCTCGATCGAGGTACACACTCCGGAACTCCTGCTTGCCTCTCAGCCGTACTTTCTCCTGCAGGATCTGGTTCGGGTTGATTCTGCCTTGAAAATTACTTTGAGAGGCCGATTCCTTTTTTTTGTGAACCACCAATTCTCCGAAAATTTGCCACCTGGGTCATGTCCCCCTTGCCTATCACCTTCATATCTTCAATCGCTTTTTTCTCCTCCTGCTTTCTTTCATCATAAGTTTCCCCTTTAGCTTCGTCTAGCCCATAGGGCAAAAAAATGGATCTCTCCCCTTTTCCCCCTCCCACTGTGACTCCCATTGGGATCCTCTGATGTGTTTTAGTTCCTTCCCCTGGAGTGTTCCTTCCTTCAGTCCCTTCCCCAGTTATGGCCCTATTTCTTCTTGGTTTATTTCCCTTCCCGCTCACCTGCTCCTGGCCCCCACGGTATCTGGTAAGGTCTTGCACATGTCCTAGTTCCTTCAATGTCTTCCAACCTCTCATTCTGTCTAGTGTGTCCCTGTCTTTGTTTTGGCCCCATGTGGGTTTGGGCAGGACCTCTGCTACAGTTTAGTTTCATGCTTCCCTTTAGACCTGTTGTCTGTGTTGATGTAGCCATTGCGATGCTACTTCTGTAATATTTTTTGTCTCTGTGCTGTTTCAGTGTCTCAGCTCCTCTTCTAATCTCTCTATCTTGATTTCTGCTGCTGTGGCCTGTTGCTTCCACCTTCTGCATTCTGTGCTAAACCCCTCTTTCCCTTTTCCTTTCCAGCTCATCTAGTCTCCTCCCAGTTCTTCCTCCCCTTTTTTGGCTCTACCTCCCCTTTCCCCCTCCCAGATTCGTCCTTGGAGCCCTTTTCCTCATCTGGTTAGGGGGAGGGGGAAAGATGGTTAGGAGAGGGGATGGATGGTTGTGGGGGAGGGGGAGGATGGTTATTGGAGGGGTAGAGATAGTTGGGGGAGGGGTTAGATGGTTTGGGGGAGGAGGGGGATGGATGGTTATGGGGGAGGTTGAGGATGGTTATTGGAGGGAGGGAGGTAGTTGGGGGGGTTAGACGGTTTGGGGAGGGGTTAAGTGGTTTGGGGGAGGGGTAGGTGCTAAGGTGAGGTGGTTAGGGAAAAGGGGAGAGGTGGTTAGGGGAGGGGGGGGTATGTGTTTGTTTTCAAGTGGTGGGGGGTGTCTGGGTGTGTGTTTTGTGTGCGTGTGTGTGGGGCGTGTGTGTGTGCGTGTGTGTGTGGGGTGTGTGTGGTGTGTGTGTGTGGTGTGTGTGTTTTGGTGTGTTTTGTGTGTGTGGGGTAAGTGTGGTGTGTGTGTGTGTGTTGGGGTATGTGTGGTGGTGTGTGTGTGGTGGTGTGTGTGTGGTGTGTTGTGTTTTGTGTGTGTGTGTGGTGTGTGTGTGGTGTGTGTGTGGTGTGTGTGTGGGGTGTGTATGTGTGGTGTGTGTGTGTGTGGGGTGTGTGTGGTGTGTGTGTGTGTGTGTGTGTGTGTGTGTTGTTGTGTGGTGTGTGTGTGTTATGTGTGTGTGTGTGTGTGTGTGTGTTTTGTATGTGTGTGTATTTGTGTATGTATGTGTGTGTGTGTGGTGGTGTGTGTGTGTGTGTGTGTATGTGTGTGTGTGTGTCTGTGTTTTGTGTGTGTGTGTGTGTGTGTGTGTGTGTGTGTGTGTGTGTGAGTGTCTACCTTGTGTGTGTGTGCTTGTTGTGTGAGGGAGGGGAGGGTTAGGGGGGGTTTGGTTGTGTGGTTGAAAGATCCGTCGTGTAGGCACAAATTTAGTCCATTTATCTTTCCAATTATCTACTCTCTCCACTTATTGCCCTTTTGGATTTACGTATTAATTGTTGCTGGTTATTATCGTTTTCCTTGTTCACCTTGAGAGAGGGGCTTCCTAGCTTCCTAAGTATTCTTACTGTAATAACTACCCGGGAGTAAAAACTGCCTGTGTGCGTGTGTGCATGGGGTGTGTGTGTGTGAGTGTGTGTGTGTGTGTGTGTGTGTTGTGTGTGTGTTTTGTGACAGAGAGTCTTGTGCGGTTGTAATGACTTGCCGCAACTTCTTGTGACCCGACACAACCTCCCGGGAAACCCGACCCTAGCACCGTCTTACAATGTTGCCTTAAAAGCTTGTCCCACCTACCTTCTCACACTCGTCAACACTTATTCTCTATGTCTATGCTATTTCTATTCTAATTCTGGTAATAGCTTTTCAGGAGTGGAGTGACCAGTATCAAACAGTTATGCAAGGCAGCCAGGGCCGTCAACATGCAAACCCCAAATAGGCGAATAAACTTGCGGTGCAGTTGCCAGCTGCTGATGACCAAGTCGTCGTACGTAGGCCTTAAATTCCTATTTTGGAGATCCTTCACCCGTGATGATTATAACCATATATTCTCATACATCCCCCTTCCTCACGCGATTTCACTCTTCACTGATGATAGTATACACTTTACATTATATACACTTCACTTTATTGTATAATGGCACACAACTTGTGTGACGTCACTTCTTCAGGCCTACCGCTACCAATGTGGCAACAGCGCCTAAGACCCCCAACGGTTTGCGCTTTGAAATATTATGATTTCAACTTTCCTCTCACTTTCTTTAACTAATAACTTTAATTATTACTCGTAGTATTGTTCACTGACGTTCCACTACCACTGATTACTGCTATCTGTTATCGCACGCCATACAACGCTAAGGATCTCGGAGCCTTGTTACCCACGTCTTCACCCTACGGACCCACGCTGTGTGTGTGGGGGGGGGTGTGGGTATGTGTGTGTGTGGGTATGTGGGTGTGTGTACTCACCTATTTGTGGTTGCAGGGGTCGAGTCATAGCTCCTGGCCCCGCCTCTTCACTGGTTGCTACTAGGTCCTCTCTCTTCCTGCCCCATGAGCTTTATCATACCTCGCCTTAAAACTATGTATGGTTCCCGCCTCCAATACTTCACTTTCTAGGCTATTCTACGGCTTGACTACTCTATGACTGAAGAAATACTTTCTAACATCCCTTTGATTCATATGAGTCTTCAACTTCCAATTGTGACCTCTTGTGTCTGTGTCCCATCTCTGGAACATCCCGTCTTTGTCCACCTTGTCTATTCCGCGCAGTATTTTATATGTCGTTATCATGTCTCCCCTGACCCTCCTGTCCTCCAGTGTCGTCAGGCCGATTTCCCTCAACCTTTCTTCGTAGGACAATCCCCGTAGCTCTGGGACTAGTCTTGTTGCAAACCTTTGCACCTTCTCTAATTTCTTGACATGCTTGACTAGGTGTGGATTCCAAACTGGTGCTGCATACTCTAATATGGGCCTGACGTAAATGGTATACAGAGTCTTGAACGAATCCTTGCTGAGGTATCGGAACGCTATCCGTAGGATTGCCAGGCGCCCGTATACTGCAGCTGTTATCTGATTGATGTGCGCCTCAGGAGATATGCTCGGTGTTATACTCACCTCCAGATCTTTTTCCTTGAGTGAAGTTTGCAGTCTTTGGCCATCTAAACTATATTGTGTCTGCGGTCTTCTTTGCCCTTCCCCAATCTTCATGACTTTGCATTTGGCAGAGTGTGTGTGTGGGTATGTGAGTGTGTGTGTGTGTGTGTGTGTGTGTGTGTGTGTGTGTGTGTGTGTGTGTGTGGGTGTGTGTGTGTGTGGGTATATATGGGTGTGGGTGTGTACTCACCTACTCACCTAGTTGTGGTTGCAGGGGTCGAGTCACAGCTCCTGGCCCCGCCTCTTCAGTGGCAGCTACTAGGTCACTCTTCGTTCTCCATGAGCTTTATCATACCTCTTCTTAAGCTATGTATGGATCATGCCTCCACTAAATCACTTCCCAGAATATTCCACTTCCTGACAACTCTGTGACTGAAGAAATACTTCCTAACATCCCTGTGATTCAGAGTCTTCAACTTCCAACTGTGTATGTGTGTATGTGTGTGTGTGTGTGTGTGTGTGTGTGTGTGTGTGTGTGTGTGTGTGTGTGTGTGTGTGAGAGAGAACGTGTGTGTGTGAACGTGTTTGTATGTATGTACGTACATACGTACTCTTAGTAGCGTGGGCTATCATGCCCTAAGTGTAGTCGCTAAATTTTGTTTGCAATGGTCGATTTGTTGCTCCTGGAAGAATTATTTAAATTATTTTCAACAAGTTTTGCTTATTTTTCCCATCAGTGCCAGATCGTACCTGCTCTTGAAATTGTGTATATATTTTTTCCACTACTGTACTACTTTGTTACTGAGCCAGTTCCTTCACTAAATATGATATATATTAATTTCTGATTTCTTTGTAATTTTAAGAGAAATATGCTGGACCTTCCATATTGACTTGAGTTCCAAACAACTAAAAGTCTCGCGAAATATATTTCGACTGATTTCTTCGTTGAACATGTACATTCTTTCTTACTGAAAAATGCTTTTAAAACCATCTCTTGTGTAATATTGTTCCTAAGAAAAACTTCTCTCAGACGAGTCTTATAAGACTGAACAACTGGAAGTTCTGGTGTAGTTACCTCTGATTTGCCCCAGTCATAACACTTTCACTTCATGATTACATAATCTCTCCTGGGTAGGGCACAGAAAAGCTAGTCTCCGTCATTTCTCGTGGGGAAATGATACCCACAGGCTCATCACTTCGAATACTTCCATAATATTTTTATTATAGGTGTCCTGAAGGAAACCTCATTACGCCGTTTGTATACAATGAGACGGCTGGGACAGCCGAGGCTGTGCTCAACAGAATGTTTCGCTTCCCTACCTCAAACAGAGTTCACTTCCAGTGCGATGTGCTCATCTGCAGAGGTGAGTGTTTTTCATGGCGGTAGGTGTTCCCCATGGTAAGTTTCCTGCTGTTCTAGTAGAGGTAAGTATGTAACTTTTTACTGACCTGTGCTGTAGACAGCAGGTACCAGGGTGTAGACAGCAGGTACCAGGGTGTAGACAGCAGGCACTAGGGTGAAGGCAGCAGGTCCAGACAACTGTGTTGTCGGTTCATATCATACGGTTGCAAATGACCTGCGCGCGCACACACACACATATAGGAGTGCAGTGATGCTGGAGAAGAAAACTTGACCTCTGATCAAATTTGATTGCCTCCCATTTCCTAAGGACTGTATTACGCTCATAGGTTTAACTTTTGTATATGAATATAATGATTAGCAAAATCTTCAGCATGGTAGAGGGACAGGGCCAAGTGAACCTTTATCATGGAAAAGGTTTCGTACCAATAAGGCGAAACATCGTTTATAAAACATATTTTATTTGTCAGCAAAGCTACCATACTTGTCAACAATGGCTACCATACTCTTCAACAATAACTGCCATACTTGTCAACAATTACTACCATACTTGTCAACAATAACTACCATTCACCATCATTTGTCATTTTTATTAGTGTTATGTAAGTGGAATTAATCTTTATCAATACAAACAATATGAAAAGATTCTCAAATAATTTTGTACATGTGTATTTTAATTTTAAATTTCTTAAAGAGGGTTTTTCTCAAGAAGAAATAGGCATTTGTTTCCCCCTGGATGCAGAGAAAAATTACCATAAATGTCATCTCTCTTCAGTTCCCTGTCCAGTCTTTACTATCTCTTTCTGTCTGTTCCCTTCAATTTTGAAAAATCCCTTTACCCTATTCTCCCCTTCCTTCTATTCTTAATCTGTTCTCATTCCTTACCTTTTTATCCTTTGCTATTTTCATCTCATCATTTGAGGTTCCATTGTAAACATTAGATCTTTTCCAGTGTTTGTTGCAATATGTTTTTTGTCCTCCCTATGTGATCCAGGTTTTGCCCTTATAGTAACACGGCTCTTGCCCCCAGGTCCGTGTGACAGCGAGCGGTGTGAGGGTCACCCTGAACGACTGACAGTGGTGCAAGGTCGAGCTCTGCCTGACTCTGACGCCAACAGCGTAGAGGAGAAATCAGGCAGAGTGCAAGCAACAACCACCGTCTATGTTGTGGAGCCCACGTCTGCAGGTAAGACAGGGAGAGCGGGAGGGAAGGAAAGTGGAAGAAATGAATTGAGAGATGGAGAAAAGGATGAAGCAAGGTAAGTTTTGGGTACCCTGGAGTACACACGATAGCTACCATAAGACCTAAGTCACACAAGAGATACTTGCTTAGAAAATCCATCTATCTTTACGTGTATGATCAAGGTGAGAATGAGTTATGGGTGGTTTTGAATTTTGCAGAACACGTGGTATTAGGGTCACTCAGAGCTCTGAATGATAAGAACTTAGTCAACATGCGACACACTGTCATCACCATGAGAGTAAAAAACTGTCTTTAAACAACAGTTACAGGAAGTCTTAGCTTAATAAATAGAACACTAACAATAACTAAATACGTTATTAACAATCTTCCCAGAACAGGGCATCTGGGTATCCTGCAAGGAAGTGTTCGTGAGGTATGTGTGTGTGTGTGTGTGTGTGCGTGCGTGTGTGTGTGCGCGTTTGTTCTCATTTTGCAACAAATATTCTCATGGTAAGAGTTCGTGTGAAAAGTGGAGGGATGGGCGCTCTCTCACTGCTCAACCCTGTACAACTTACTTGCTGATAGACTCCAGAGCCTCGGTTCTCGAGTCTAGAAGCAAACTATACAGCAAAAATCCTGCTATAGAACACAGCTCAGAGACTTCTACCTTCGAAACTGGCAGTCATTAACTAGAACCCCAAGATGTCTCATGGCACCAATAGAGTTCCATTCATCTTGAATATAGAGGAACTAGCTACTAAGTGAATAAAGCCTGTTATTTACAAAGCAACAAATGTACCCAAAGAATCAGAATAAATAGTAAGCTTGGGCCTAATATTATCAGCAACTAGGTCGAGTGCAGCTACAATAGCATTAAGTTTAATCAAACCAGATCCAGCATAGAGTCGGAAAAAGCAGCCATACTCAAGCCTTAGCCAATGCAGGGACACTTCTAAACAGAAGATCCGGTGTTTTATCCCACATAGGGAGACAGGGAGAGGATATAAGCTAAGGTGGCAGAGGACAAGCCACAATCAATGTCAGTTTCAAAGAGTGAGGAAAGTGGGGCTTGATTGCAAGTAGTGCACCATAGACACTAGAAGACCCAAGGTCAGTCACCCTTACTTATCTAGCCAATCTATCTCATTTTCTTCCTCCATCTCTATCCATTTATCCCTACCCCTCCCCCTCCCCTCCTCCTCTCTCTCTCTCTCTCTCTCTCTCTCATAACTATGTTGGAATCATTCAGGAATCATGGACTCACAGGAGTGCATTAATCCGGAAATGCTGGAGCAGTGAGTTTTGCTGTTGACTTTTGCCTCGGAACGCAAACTCGTCCATGTTCCTTGATATTCATGAGCGAAGTCCTGGAGATATTCTTACGTGAGGTTCGGGAGTTGACGTTCTTGGGTGAGATGACGTCCTTGCCTAAGGTACTGGAGATGAACTGATGTTCTTGAGTGAGGTGCTAGAGATGATGTGCTGGCGCCCTTCCCTCAGCATCCACCAGGAAAAATTTTCCGGTTCTATGGCTTTTGAAGAGTCAAATTCCTTCAGAATCTTCTTTCGCTTTTGATGTACACATTTTCTATGTTCTGTGGTATTATTTTTCGCTATTTTCCTAAAACTTTGCTGAAACTTTTGCTTAATTCCTGGTGATTAATTCTCTAGTTTTCCGAGAGTCTTTTCCTGCCCTCTTTAGTCGTATCACGTTCTCTTTTACAAGTCTATTTCCTTATGAATTTTAGTTATGAAAAAATCTAACCTTTCCTGCCATGCTAATCTCAAACAATATCTTTGCTTCTCTATTACCATTCATAGTGGTTCATTAATTTACTTGCTTTCTGTTCTCCTCCATTCTTTGGAGTTTAAATTTCTTTTATGGTTCAGTGCAGCCCTGGTTGATCCAGGGTTCTATATTTCACACGGCTTCATGCTTATGGAGAGAGAGAGAGAGAGAGAGAGAGAGAGAGAGAGAGAGAGAGAGAGAGAGAGAGAGACACAGAGAGAGAGAGAGAGAGAGAGAGAGAGAGAGAGAGAATGAAACATGTGTCACGGCAAAGGCCGTATTTCGTATGTTTTCTTTACTTTTCTTAGGATTACCATCAAATTCTATTTATATATTTCTCGGGGAGGACAGGAAGGACATAGAGAGGGGATACATTGAAGGAGAATGGGAAGAGAAAAGCAAATCTGGCTGGAAAACTGTTGGGAAGGAAGATGAATGTTGGGACTGAAGGAGAGAAGAAATGGAGATGGGAAGAAAGGGAGAAGGAAGGAAGAAAGAAGGCAAGGAAGGTGTGAAGGAGATAAGGGAAACAGAGAGAGTATAACAAGTATTGACGTAACTTAACCAGTATTTATCACACTTCATCATATCTTAAGCACATTGAACTCTGTATATATTATGTAGTCACGAGATGCTTGTACAATATTAACGCTACTTCACCCTCCTACCACTTCCCTTCTCCTTCCCTACTCTTTCCCTCTTGTTCTCTTCTCCACTTTCACCTCTTCTCCCACACACACAAGCTCTCCCAACCTTTCCCCTTCCTCGGAATACATAAAGGAAGACTTAGTCAAAACTTGTAAATCTTGGTCCCCTTCCTCTCTCTCTCTCTCTCTCGTTTCATCCCTTTCAGTCTTCACTTCTTTCTCATGTCAGTTCCTCCCACTGTCCTTCTATACGTAGTACTCGCCTAGGTGTATGTGTTAGGGTTGTTATATAGAACTTTTCTACTCGTATGCAATTCAATAATTTTGTCAGCGAATTCCTAGGTGTAGTTGTTCTAGCATAAACTATTCCTAAATGTGGCTCTTCCATCATGTAGTATTCATACACATGTCTATATATACTAGAATATTTCAGACACGCGCCGAATTCCTGTGCAAAAAAAGTATGCCGTCGGAAAAAATAAAATAATTAGTTCAGTTATTTTTTTTTGCCATGGTTCTAGGCAGTGTTCCAGGGGAAGGGGGTTGGGGGACTGATCCACTTGTTAAATGTTTGTTTGAGGCTCATCCACTTGTGAAGTGTTCCTGTCTGAAGTGGGTTTACCCAGCCCTTGTGAAGTGGCATCGGGGAGCCGCTTATTTTTCTCCTTTGTTTCCCATAGCAAAAGTTGTGTCTCGTTTTCTTCCATCCTGCAACCTTCTCCAGCCGGAGAAACACAAGTGCCAAATGAACCATAATAAATCCTTTCGAATTTAATCCAAATCAGACGCTGTGTCTCCCACACGTACATAATTTACCTCTTCTCTCTTTTCCTCTTTTTCAGACCATAAATAATATCCTTACTACTGCTTTGAACATCAAAATTCCACACGACATCCGTTTTACTAATAAATTTGCATTAGTATATAGGAATGTGCTGATAAACGTGTCTCAGTTAATTTATGGCAAGACTTAATTTACCAAAGCTAAAAATCTGTGACCTTTCTAAACGTTTCTTCGTGATATTAACAAAATTATTTTCACTAGAGTCTGCCATACTCACTACGTTATATCATGTTTATGTAGAGGTTAACTTCTTTACCACACAAAATCGTTTATTTATTACATAGTCACTGATATTCAAATAAATACTGGAATTTGTATATTTAATTCTCCTCTCGGAAAATCGCACGTATTTCAAGGTAATTCTTACAGTATTTCTTGTGTGGATGCCAGGAAGGTGAAACACTTGGAGTGGAAATCGAAACAGGATGTACAGTGATTTATTCACTCGTTTATGCAAGCCTAGTCTTCACACTTTTGTGAAATTAAAAAACAATGATGAAAACTGGACATAGATTAGGACAATCATAGTCTAAGTTTCATTTACAATTTGTGGACTAGCTGTAAATGTTTAAAGTTGTGAAAAAAAACTGTATATATTTTCCGGAAACACGGTAATTTATAGGTAAATAGATGCCCTGTATTGTATTTTTAAAAGAAGTATGTTATCGAAAAAAAAGAAGAGACTCTCGCCATCTTGGTTTTGAATTTTGTACAAATGTTGGTGTAATGGGAAGAATTTTTCGTGCTCTAGAGGTTAAAATTGTGTTGACACCTCTCAAATAGGAGGCGAAATTGGTGGATGTGCATTCCTGCATAACTTGAGATATCAGACGACTGGACAAGACAGCTCCAGGAACCTCAGATAAGCTCTCTAGATTTGTGTGTAATTCTGGCCAGCATTATTTTCATAGATTTAGTTAGAGTGAGGTTTTCTGAGTATGATACACATTAATCTCCAGTCAAATTGGTGAGTGATATTAAGATATATTTTTTTCTGTTATGTAATTATGTTATATGTATAACCATTTATTATTTTTAATATACAGTCCACAAATTTATATATTTACCAGTATTCCTGGTGTATGTATATTTCATTTAATTAATAGGTCCAGAGCAACTTGTGGTTATGACAGTGGTAGGTATCGAAGGGGGACATTTTTTGCGACCTAGGTGTCCCAAATTCCTACTTGTCTATGTAACACTGATAAATAATAATCTTTATCATTTACTGTTATGTACATAGTTACATTCAGATAAATGTAATTTTCACTTAAATTTGCCCGTTGGGCCTTCCCAG